TAGTCCTATATAGAAGAGTCCAGACATTGATGGAGCGTTATTTCTGCATTTCTCTTTGGTATCTCTAGTCTTACTTTTAGGCTTCCTTGAGATAGATTTGAGGGGAAAAAAACAACTTAACATTCAATATTATTTTAAATTAATATCACTCACACTAGTGTAAATCCAACAAGAATATGTAGAACATTACATAGCATAACCAACATTCACAGCATGAGGCTTTATGATATATTTAAATTTATTTGGTACAACATATTCTAATTAATCAAATGTTGAGATTTGCAAAGGTAAAGTTAGCTCAACTCTTTTCATTTTTTTAAATTGAAGTATAGTTGACATACAATGTTATATTAGTTCTAGGTGTGCAATATAGTGATTCGACAATGTTGTACATTACACTACACTCACCAGAATAAGTGTAGCTATTATCCATCATAATATAAGGTCATCACAATTTTATTGTCTATATTTTACTTTTCATCCCTCTGACTTATTTATTTTACAACTGGAAGTCTGTACCTCTTAATTCCCTTCACCGACTGACTTCACTCATCCCCCTAGGCCCTTCTCCTCTGGCAACAACAAGTTTGTTCTCTGTATTTATGAGTCTGTTTTTGTTTATTTAACCATTCTTTTGTCTTGTTTTTCAGATTCCACATATAAGTAAGTCATATAGTATTTGTCTTTCTCTGTCTGCCTTATTTCACTTAGCAAAATATTCTCTAGCTCCATCCATGTTGGATCAACTTCTCTCATTTGCTTTTGTGTTTTACCTTCTTACTTACCCATTACTGTCATAAGTAACCATCACAGCCCATTCACCCACCATATTCTGTAAATGATACTTCTACAGAAATATCTTTTATTTTAGTCTGCATCTTGGCAAGACACAAAGCTGATAGCATCAGTAATAGAGCAAGTAAGCTCATCACAATGGTAAGTTTTAGAAGAAAGTAAAAACCATCGTCATTTGGGTGCCATTGTCCTCTTAAGGCTTTGAAGAAGCCTACGGATTACTCTATTTTCATTGAATTGCTAAAAAGGTCTTTTCTTCTAATAATTCCCCCACTCATAATTTTTTTTTTGGTATGTATGAAGAACTAAATAGAATTCAGCCCCACCCAACCAAGATGCCCACTTCCTAATCCTTGGACCTTGTGAAAGTTACCTTATGTGGCAAAAGGGACTTTGCAGGCATGATTAAGTTAAGGATTTTGAGATAGGTTTCTGGGTGAGCCTGATGTAGTTATGGGAATTCGTATAAGAAAGAGGGAATCAGGGGCGCCTGGGTGGCTCAGTGGGTTAAGCCACTGCCTTCGGCTCAGGTCATGATCTCAGGGTCCTGGGATCGAGTCCCACATCGGGCTCTCTGCTCAGCAGGGAGCCTGCTTCCCTCTCTCTCTCTCTCTCTCTCTCTCTCTGCCTGCCTCTCCATCTACTTGTGATCTCTCTCTGTCAAATAAATAAATAAAATCTTTAAAAAAAAAAGAAAGAGGGAATCAATCAGAGAGCGAAATCAATCTGATGACAGAGGAAAAGATTGTAGTTATGCTGACATAAGTGAAAGAATGCTGGCGACATTGAGAAGCTAGAAGAGGCAAGGAATGAATTTTCCACTGGAGATTCCAGAAGGCATAAGCCCTTTTGACATCTCAGCTTTAGTTCAGTGAAACTGATTTTGGACTTCTGGCCTCCAAAATTGCAAGAGAATACATTTCTGTTGAGTTAAGCCACCAAGTTTGTGGAACTATGTTATAGTAGCCACAAGAAACTAATACATTATGTCAAAGAATTTAAGTCACTCTATTAATTAGTCTTTATGTAGAGTTTCGGCTCTGTATCTAGGGCAAGTTTAAGATGCAAGGAATAAGCTTTCTAGCCATCAGATAACGCAGAGAAATTCCTATGCCTTCTGAAGAATAAGAAACAAAATCCCTTTATTTAATGTGGCAGCAGATTTCTTGTAACTCATTAAAAAAGAGTTATGGGACTCCTTCCCATATTTTTCCGAAGGTTAAAAATCCTTTAGGGTAAACACAGAAGATCAAAGAAAGCTAAATTTTCCAGTAAATGGCCCTTAAAGAAAATAATGGAGGTCACCTTCTAGACTTTTAAGTCATGATAGAATTTTTATCTTCTTTTTTTGCCACCACATATATATTTGTATTCTAATTCTACTTGACCTAGTGCTATTCAATGATGCAACAGTGATCTCATGATTTAAAAAAGCAAAATGTATCCAAACGATACTTATATAGCAACTAAATGTTTAACTCTTGAGTTGAAATGATTCTTAAATTTAGCAGTGGTAACCTAAAGTGGTGGACATTGTAGCTACATTTACCCTGTTGGTTTCATAGATCATTAATTGTTTCAACAGCTGAAAGGCAAATGAGCAAAATTAAAAATTTAAGATACAGGAGTAAATGAAGATTAAGCACTTTTAAAATGATAATGTGACAAGATAGAAATGCGAGTCTGATTTGTGCTTACATTTTAAGGAAAACATTGTAAGAATATAATGAGATACTGGTGAATGAGTTAAACATTTTGAGATGAAGCTGTCAAGACTATGCCTCCATGAGTTATGAATCACCCTCTTACTAAGTACTATTACACATATTTATTAGCGTGTGACCTAGGAAAATTGTTATCTCTCAGTGCCTCAGTACCTTCTGATGTAAAACCAGAGCCAGTAACACCTATTTTGCAGGACTGTTGTGATGACAGAATGATATAAATAATGTGAAGTTACTTAAGAGAGTGTTTGGCACATAGTAGATGCAAATCAAATGTTACTTTCCTTCTGATTTTCTAAAGCTGTAACTTAAAAAAAAAATCTAGCCTCCCATTAGACTAAAAAAAAATATTCTCACTGCTAATTTACTTTGATATTGCAAAGAGATGTCCTGCAATAATCTTGCCTCTTCTAAAAGTTAATGCCATAAATGGACAGTTCTACCCCATGTAGTTAAGAAAAATGCTTTTCTTGACAATAGATCCATAATGACTTCTCTTTTTTAACTCATATTCTTCTGTGCCGTAGTCATGAGCTAATTCCCAGAAGGCTGTATATACAGTTATTAAGAATAAGGGCTCAATACTCAAACTTCATAGATTCTATTCTTTTAAATATTTTAGAATATCAATTACTACCAAACGTTTCTCTAACTCAATGTCCACATCTTCAAAATGGAGTTAATAACAATAGTATTTTCTCCATAGATCACTCTGAGGATCAAATGAGTTAGTCATAGTTTATGAAATATGGTTATTATGTAGTTGATGTTAACTTTTATCATTATCACAAGCCTACAGTCTTTATTATTATTATTATTATTATTACATATTATTACTTTCATTATCATTATTATTGGATCTCATCTAAAACCTATTGCATTTTGTAAGAGTACATGAGAAAGAAAGAAAGAAAAAAACACTAAAGGAGGCTTAAGTTTTAGGTTAGACAACTTGCTACAATCTGTATAAGTTATATATCAAACATAAACACACACACATATATATTATATGTTATATATAATATATATAATATATAAATTATATATATGTACTTATAAAATTTAGAGAAATTTAATATGTTGAGGACATTTCCTACCATCTACATAGGAAATAAGACTCCCAGAGAGGACATAAGTGTATGTACCATTAAAATTAGTTGGCATCCTAGAGAGAAGGGTGGGCTGTGGCTGAGACAGAGAAGAAATAGTTTTGTTTACAGTTTAGACTCCACAGTTTTACAGTTGAAGGTCATGGTTGTCAAGCTATTGACAACTTCTGAAAGCTTCTAAATTAGTCATTACCTCAATGAGAAAGGCTATAGATAATATGGAGAGTAAAGAAAAGTCTTTGGAATCCAACTCAACTGGGTCTTTGGGAAAGCTGTTTGTCCTATTGGACTTCTTTTTATCTGTAAAAAATGGGGAAAATAATATGCTTTTTTAGTTGTCTTTATAGAAGATTACTGATTATCTAGTGGTACGGTAGCATATTGAAAGTATCAGTATGGTAGATATGAGATATAGGTAGATATTGTAGGAAGAGCAAGTTCTCACTGAATATATGAAAGAACTGAAGTAATTAGTTACATACATATATAAAAGAAAGAAATAATTTCCAAGTGTTCTCTATATAAGAATCCATGAGGGAGTGAAGGAAGCACTTGTTAAGTTTAATTCAAGAGGAAAATATAATGTGCTTTCCACTAATCAGAATTAAAGTTTATGTAACCCCTTTGTGGTTTATACCATTAGGTAAGGTGAACATTGTAACTTGCTGATTTCCACCAAATGTTAAAGGACATATATCAAGTTGGTAGGTGATTCTCTTTCTATATTCCCTCTATCCCTACTGGCAATATTTCCTATAGTCAAGGCTCTCTACTCCTGAATCCCAGAATGGGAATTATTTTGGACATGAAATAATAATGTGTATGAGTGATAAACCATAGCGATTTCAAGCTCTTGGAATTTTGAAGTTCCAGGTTAGTGTGATAAAACACAGTCTGTTCTGACTAAAGAACCTTAATAATTCCCTGTTTAAGTGTTAGAAAGTGCAGATGCATATTTCATGTTCAACTGTTATAACATGTTCAATCAGGACCTTGAAAGTATCTATCTTGTTTGTTTTTTTTCAGACACTCTTTTTTAAAAAAATATATTTTGTTTAGTATAACTAAGAGTCTTTAACTTCATGAAGGATGATGAAGAATTGAAAAACTTTTTTTCTGAATTATTTGAAGTAAGTTTATTTAGAGATAACCATGAAAACAGTTTTTTTGTTAAGAATATGTTAATGACATAGAAATCAAGAAGCCTGGTAGCAATAATATTCCAGTAAATAAGCAAACAATTAAAATCACTGAGAATCTGATCAAGTAAGAATATAGTTAAAACAGTAACTGAACTGAAAGCATAATGATCCATCAACCTGAAGATGAAACTTCTTGACAAAGCTCTCTAGCAAGATGCTAGAATGACAATTCAGTATGATCTTCTAATAAATGGAGATTGCCAAGTCCCAAAGGAGCAAGCTGGATGGAAACTGTTGTATATGTAGTGAACAGGTTGAAACCTATTAGACACATAGTTCAGGGGTCTGAAGCTGCTGAACACATAACCAATAGGTTGAAAGTCGTAGGAGAGATATCTCAAAGGATGGCAGGCCCGGGACACACAATTCAGTGGTCGATACCCACAGAAGATGAAGTTCTGTGACTGACAGCCATAAGAGAGGTGGTTCTGGGGGTGGAAACGACTTGACAAGTAGTTCTGAGCTCTGTAATACATTGGTGGTTGACAGGATCTGGAGTGATAGCTAATGGGAAAAAAACTGATTCCTCTGCAGGGCCTCGAAGCATAGTATGTAGTAGAAGGGTAGCAGGAAATTTCATAGGTTGTGGACCCACAGCTGGATTTTCGGTAGCTGGAAGGTTTTCCACATGTCTTCAAGAAGTTGTCCAGGAGCCATGTTCTGTTTTGGCTGGGAAAGCAGAGACTATCACCACAGTTCATACCAGCAGTGTAGAAAGTAGTAGATGAAGTAACAGGAACGCGGCAGTGACTCCCAAGAGATGGAGAGCCATAGTTTCCAGAAGAGCAAATGTTGGATGTCATGGTAGAATCTGAAGTAAAGATTTCAGATAAGCAGCAAAGAGCACCTTGTCTAAATCTGCATGAAACTAGACCAGATTACTTATATACCTTGGTGGTACATGCCCAGACTCTCCTCCTACCCACATTTTAAATCAGTCAGCATCATAACATCTCATTAGTTCATTGTTGTGCTGCCTGGGAAAATGACTTCCCACTCTTCTATAAAATAAGTCCAGTTTACATGCCCTATGTATCTGCCATCCTAATCCGTCCTCTGTTATCAGGCTCGAGAATTCATGATGTAATCACCTGTGTACTTTGCCTGTTTTGCTTCTGTTCCCACCCCTCAATAATGCTTGATTAAAGGGAGTCCATTCGAAGAGATGTTTACCTCAGTCATCATCCACAGGAAAAAACATCGGAAGGCATAGTCTTCATCTTTGAAGAAGAGACCTAATGTTGCAATACTTGGAGGAAGTATTTAATGTACTGAAATAGATCCTACATATTAAAACTTATTGGATTTTCCAGATGGAAAACCTCATACTATTCCATATTTAAATACTCAGCTGAAAATCTAATTATGTGGTGTTGTTCTCTATGTATTTGTCCTGACAGTTAATTTCAGTTAAGCATCTTAAAGTATGTTTTAAAGAGTTTCACCTTGACAACTTGATATTCTTCATATGTAAAAGTTGAGTTTGATTTCTAAAGACTCAGGGAATGTTTGTGATATTTTGTGATATTTTGTGTAACACTCATGACATACTTTGTTTTACTAGCAAAAATATCATCCATGTCTGTTGGTGGCATTCAACTAAGAAGATAAACATGGTATCAGCTTGGGGCTCCTGGGTGGCTCAGTGGGTTAAGCCTCTGCCTTCGGCTCAGGTCATGACCCTAGGGTCCTGGGATCAGGCCCCACATCGGGCTCTCTGCTCAGCAGGAAGCCTGCTTCCCCCTCTCTCTCTGCCTGCCTCTCTGCCTACTTGTGATCTCTGTCTGTCAAATAAATAAATTAAATCTTTAAAAAAAAAGAAATATGTTTGAATAGTTCTTACTTGGACACCATGTAAGGAACAATCTCTGGGCCTTATTTTGGGTTGTTTTCCAAAGCTGTGAGTTAATTCTTACAGATATCTATTTCCTTGGGTTGGTAGTCATCCAGAACCAGAAATATCTCTTTTCAAGCTGCAACTCAGGAGGTAAAAAATGATGGATTTGGGAATAACTGGAGAAAGGTAAATATTCCAAGCAGCAATCTGATGATCCTTTTGGTGGATGCTTTCCTTTGGGGAACATGGCCTTACAGAGTCATGAATGACATCAGTAGCCATGAAGTCACTTCCCCTCTGCACAATCCTCTTTTCCCACCAATGCCCATTGTCTCTGTATTATCCACTGAAGGGTCTAGAAGACTGATTCATTTTCTTCCCCCCTGAGGAAAGATATTTTATAATGCTTATAGCTTTTCAAGTAAAAGTAAGGAGATCTCATACACCCATGCAAGCATACACAGGAGAAGTAGGAAGTTATGAGCACATTTGTGATACATATTTTTTTTTAAATGTTGTATTTTGTTTTTAAAAAAAACATCACAGAGAGCATGACCTTGGTGCAGATGGAATGTTAAGGTCTCTCTCCTGAATTTCAACTTTTTTTCTCTTTTGTTTCAGATAGTGGAGAAAGAAATATTTGATGTCTCATGTGGGGAATTTTCCAAGTCAGTATACTGCATTCTTCCTCAAAGAAAGCCTCAGATGACTTCCCGTTAGTGTAAGTCCTGTTATTGGTAAAAATAACAGAGGATATTGAGTCATCAAGAGCTGAGAGTTTGAGAAGTCTATTTGATAAATTGCTTATCTCCTCTAAGAGCTTTAAGCCTTTACAGATAAATGAAATCTTTTAAACTCTTATTTGCTTCCAAAAAAGATTTCTCCTCTCACCTTGATAACCCCCAACCAAAATAGTTTTTTGTGTGTGTCACACCTAAATTCCTCATGATTTAGTTCAAGATTCTCTTTACCTCTTTTGTTCCCTTCAAAGTTCAAAAAGAAGTGATAACCCAGTAGTCTATAAAGTCTCTTCCTCAGCATGTAGGCATGCTGCATATGAGTTTCAAAAAGATAACTAAAATCTTTCTTTTTAGTCCATAGTAAAAATAGATTTGGTCTTCATAGAACTGCTATTGAAATGTATTTGATAACTGGGACATGGTTGAGGCTACAGTTATCAAGCTGAATGTGATCCCATCACTAATCATCAGTAATTAAAATGTAAGTTAGATGTAGGACATGGAACTGAGAGAAGCCTGGTGTCACCAACTCTATATCACATTTTTATGACAAATGCAGGAGAGTATGATACACATACCTAACTAGCATGTACCCTAATTTATTATTTGTAATTCCTCTTGATGTCTACAGAGATTTTCTTCAAATTTGTAATAACTCTGTATACCCTCAAGAGCCTGAAATGGAAAAAAAAAATTGAGAAATTCTATCTTTTGTTAGAAATGATTGATTGAAGATATGATGAAATAGCACAAAATAATGAAAATCACATCAAGAGTTTTTTCATTCTCACATAATAGTCAATTAACACTTTCAATTAATTAATGAAATCTTATTTAGAGTCCCTAAGTCTAATACAGTCTCCATTTTTTCATTAGAGTTCATTAGAGTGAACTACTTTCATTAGAGTTTCATTAGAGTCCATTATACTGCTCCACAACACCCATATTTCAGTCTTATTTAAATATTCAAAATGTCCTAAACCCTGCTTTTTAAATCTCAAAAACTGCACAAGCTTCTCCCCTCTGGAACAACTTTCTCTGTTGTGCCTTCTGGGAATGATGGTACATTCTTTATTTTATTTTAGATACAGAATCACTATCTCAAAGATAATTCTAAGTGAAAATATATTTTTATTCACTTCCATGCATAATGTCTTAAACATTCCATTTGATTCTCTCTATGTTAATGTAAAAGTTGGAAGTCATTTTCAAATCGACCTAATTGTCCTGGTTGTATGCAGAGATAGGGAAAGACTCCATTTCCTCAATTCCTCACTTGTCCTTTCTTAGAAATACTGTTTTGGTCATGTGTATATCATCTTGGCCCAGAGCAAATAATGTTCATTCCAAGATTTCGTAGTTCTATCCAGGACATCACCACATCTTAATAAAATAGCCTAATAATTCTAAGGGAAAAAGCAGGCAAATAATATGAACTATGTGTCATTTCTGGAAGATAAATGCTCCCTAAGACTATTTTCTTCATTTTGCTTCCCTTCCTCCTTTTTCTTTCCTCTATAGAATTTTATTTTCAAATTAATTAATGCACTTATAATATTGAATCTATTTGTTTAAACCATCTCTATTGTGTAAAACTTAGACTTGTTCAAGGTCAGAGACTAGGTCTTATTCATATCAACATCACAAGTTGCCAGTTTCTTGAACACAATAGATGATCAACAAACATTTTTGAATCCTGAATAAATCTCATATTCTTTATACAGAGAAAATATTTGTCTTTAATTTCAGATACTTATTTGACATCTTGCCTTCAATGACTTTTCGTTCTTTTTAGCCAAATTTAGCATTCACAGTGGAGCTCTTGATTCCATTCCTCAAAATTTTCTCTCATGTTCTTTCCCATCTTAGTAAGTGAAAAATTATCTACCTGGTTTCTTAAGCTAACAATCAGTATATCAGCCTTGTTCTTGCCTTTCCCTTACCACTTACAAGCAATAAGCAAGTGCGGAGTTCCTCTAGTCTAAGTAGATCTCAACTGCGTCTGCTTCTACCATGTACGCGCTTCCTCGTTTCAGTTTTTCCAAGCTGTCGTCATTCCCACAATTCCACAACCTACTTACCTGCTTCCATTCCTTATCCTGCTAATTTGCCCCTTACATTACAGTCAGAGTGATATTTACTTATTTGTTCTCTAATACCTTCCCTTTCTTTGTGTAGCTCTAAATACCTGACCTACATAGCTTTCCTTCATTCTGAGGGATTTATTTTATTTCTTGCAAGGGAGATCTACTGGCGATAAATTCCCTCAGTTTTGTATCTGACCAAGTCTCCATTTCTCCTTCATTTTGAAAAATAATTTTGCTGTATCCAGAATTCTAGGTTGGTGCATTTTTTTCTTTGATACTCAAAGTATTTCACTCTACCCTTTTCTGGCTCGCACAGCATCTGAAGAGAAGTCTGCTGTATTTTTTATTCTTGTTCCTCTGTAGGTGAAGTGTTTTCTTTCCTTTGGACCCTTTTAAGATTTTCTCTTTCTATTTATTTTATTTTATTATTTATTTATTTATTTTGCAGATTGAATATATGTCTAAGTTGTAGATATCCTGGCATTTATCTGAAATATGTTCTCTGAGCTTCTTCAATCTGTGGTTTAGTGTCTTATCATTAATTTGGGGAGAATTCTCAGTCATTGTTGCTTCACATAATTCTTCTATTCCTTTCTTTCTTTTTTCTGGAATTTTCATTGCATGTATGTTATATCTGTTATAATTGTTCAACAACAACAGCTTCTAGGTTCGTTATATGACAGGCTGAAAACTGGAAGTCCAGAATAATATTTTTAGAACTAGTATCATTCTCTTATTTAAAACATTAATAATTTTTTTATTTCCTAGAATACAATGAAAAATGTACAACCCAAGACCTTGAATAGTCTATGCCTTGCCTTCCTCCACAAGCTCACATTCTACTGTCCACTTGTTTCTCAACACTCCAGCCACATCAATCTCCTCTCACCTTCTTGAACTTAGCAAACTCTTTCGACCTCTGCTGCTGGCACATAGTGTTTCCTATTCCTGCTCTATGCTTCCCTTTGCTTTTTGTACAGCTGCTTCCTTTTCACTTTCCAGGTGCTAGGACATCATTACTCAGAAAGGATCTCATGGCCCATCCAATCTCATCGGCAGCCCCTCCATCCAACTTTCACACTCTCTGTAACTGAGCTTAATTTCTTTCATAATACTTATTATGAGTTCTAATTATGCATTCAATTATTTATTTTTAAGTTCATTGATCATCAGCTTTACTAGATGTCAAGGTCC